CCCGTGGCCCTCAGCACCAGGCTTGCTCAGTGGCACGTCTTCCTGGTCACCCTCACCAGCCTGGGCCTTTCAGGGTCAGCGCCCCGTGGGAGCCCCCAGGGACACCACATTGCCCTCCTGGCTTTGCCCCAGAACCGCTGAGTAAAACCCAAGCTCCTCAGAGTAGCAAGGTGCTGGTGGCCAAGATTCTTGCATTTCTGGAAAGCACCAGGAAACAGGTGAAGGAGCTTGGCCAGGCAAGTAAACCAGGTGTGTGAGCCTCGCCAGCCTCAAGGTGAGGCTGGGGCTCGAGACTCCGTTTCCCCATCTGAGCAGTGGGGGTGATTTGCCCAGCCTCATTTGCGAAGCTCCGGGGAGCCGAAGAACACCAGGAGAAGAGGGTTGCCCTTGGTGTGGCGAAGTCGACAGGAGCACCCCGTGCGGCCACAGGCAGAGGTCAGTGAGGCCGCCCGGTGGGTGGGTGTGTGGGCAGGCAGCGGGAACCCGGCTCGGCTCCCTGTCCCCTGCCCACCCCCCCCCCCGGGAACTAGGGCGGGCAATGACCCTGGGGGCTGCTGGGGAGGCACCCCGTGTTTGCACAGGCCACCCCGGAATGTGGTGGGACAGGCCCTGGGGGCCCCTGAGTCAGGAGCTACAGGCACTGGGCCAGGAGGGGGAAGGGCCACCCTTGGCAGGTGGCGCTGGTCCTGTGGGTGGATGGGCACAAGGCGGGGGGGGGGGCCCAGGTGGAAAGAGGCTCATTGTGGTTGGGTTTGGTCCACAGCTGGGGGCTCAGCCCAGGTGCGGGGCTCAGTCCAGGGTCGGGGTTCAGCCCAGGTTAGGGCTTCTTCACTCACTCCTCGCTTGCTCGCTGGTTGCCCCCTGGTGCATAGCCCTCTAGCCAGGCACTGGCTCCGTCCCGCGGGCCTAGGCACGGGCGGGAAATGAATTTTCTGCGTGTAATTCATTCCTGCCACCAGCCCTAAGATGTCCCTGCTGGGAGAAGGGCACCACTATTAATGCCCCCAGCCCCCCGCCCCACACCCAGCCCTGATGGGTGGCTGTCTGTTCACCACCCGCCCCATTGCAAGCCTCCAGTCCCCCTCAAACCTATCCCCAGTCCACGCACTCTTCACCCCCAGGGGCCAGCCCTTCTCTCCCCCTGATGTCTATCTCCACCCATGCCCCCCCCCCCGCCAAGCCCTCCTCCACACAGCAGCCATAAGAACCACATCCCTCTCCTGCTCAGATCCCTGCCATGGCTCCCTAGGGCCCACACCATTAGGGCCCGACCCACGCTCTGACCTTGGCTCCTTCACCTTCCATTTCCCTGGGCTTAGGCCTCATACCTCGAAGTCTCCTTAAATACACCAAATACACCGCGTGCAGTCCCGCCTCCCAGACTTTGTCCCTGCACGTCGCCCACTGACGTTTCTCACCCTCTGGCCACACCCAAGTGTCTCTGCCCTGGGGCCCCACCCCACTGAGGTCAGGGTCCTGCGGGGGCACATTCAGAGCCCCTTCTGGATCTCTGTCTGGTGCCCGGCAATGGGAGGCATGAGGCTGGTGTGCTGGCCGGTGTCTGCCCGTTTCCCAGCTCTCCTGGCCCCCTGGCTCCCCAGGACACGGCTGGGCTGGAGGGGCAGGGGTCGATCACCACTGGGTCCCCTTCCTTGGACTTAGAGCTGCAAGGGCCGGGGAAATCAGGCCTGGGGAGGGGCTGGTGGTCTGGCTGCTCCCCATCCCACTTTACACCCAGCACGGCCGCAGCTCCTTCCTCCGGGATGACCCGTCAGCCCCAGGCCAAGCATCAGGCCCTCTAGAAACCTCCCTCCCAGAAGCCAGGGAGAAGGAATGAAGGAAGGAACGCATGAGCCCTGACCCAGGCCACCCAGGGTGAGCATGCCCACGTCTGGGTCAGGCCCCTCCGTGGGGGTCTGAATGGACCGAGAAGCCCCCAGCTCTAGTGGCATCTATCCCCACCGCATGAGTGCACACTGGGGGTGGGGAGATGTCTGTGCCAGGGGTCTGGCTGGAGTGATAAGCGCCCCTCCCTCCCGCCAGGGCTTCTGAAAAGCAGGGAGGAGCAGTGCGTGTTGCAGGGGGGCGGGGGGGCTCTGCTCACACCCCAAGGGAACGGTCCCATTTTGGAGACAAATGAAAACAGATGTCAGGAGGATGGCCCCAAAGTCCTAGATTCAGCTACATTCTCTCTGTGTGGAGGACCCTGGCCTGCACACCTACTGTGTCTCTTCCGGAAGCCTCCGCTCCCATGTCTGTGTTCTAGCCCTCGTCCCCCCTGCTCACTGGTGAGGATCGGTTCTTGGCATTCGTCTTTCCAACCAGAAATGGGGTTCTCTCCCGCAACGTGGGCTCCCCAGCCTGGGGCCAGCGCACAGTAGGTGTGGCTTGTGTGGAAGGAGGAAGCAGGTGGGGCGGGCAGGGCTCGGGCTCCTGCCTGCCCAGGCCAAGCGGGCGGGGGCGCACCCAGAGGAGAACAAAGGCCGCAGGCAAGCAGGCAGGCGGGGGTGGGCGGGCTGTGGGCCGGCCTCAAGGGGCCCCTGGCACCAGCCACTGGCGGCATGTCCCCATGCCAGGGCCTTGTGGGGCTCACCCAGGCCTCGGGGCTGGGCAGAGGTGGCCCCGTGCGGGGGCCCCCACGGGCCGCTCCACCCAGTGACTAAGCCCGGGCTGGGCCTCCCCAGGGAGGACAGTGGTGGCCTGTGGGCGCCGGGAGGGCCTCCTGGCAGGTGTGAGCCCCGGGGCACACTGGACCCAGGGAGGGCCTAAGCCTCAGTTTCTTCATCTGTACAATGGGTCTCATCTCTCAGTCATGGGGACCTGACAGCCAAACATATGGATGCAAAGAGTCACATTTGGAACTAAAGGGGGGCCTCTGCTTGCCCATCTTGCCTTGGAGGGCAGATGCAGGGCGTCTGGGTCTCGGGCGCCACTGTGGCCCAGTGTCTAGCACCAAGCGAGGCACACAGTTGGTGCTCAATAACTGTGCGGTCCGTGAATGGATCTTTCCCCTGTTTCAGTGAGTGTGTTGAGGGCCACTCCGGGAATGGTAACCCCAATGCTATGGTTCAGGCCCTGAGCGTTCTTGGGGAAGGGAGGACTGACATACCCTGAGCGAGGCGGGGGACCCTGAGAGGCCTGGGCCCCAGCCTGCTCCGTGAGAACCTCCCCAGGCTGGGGGGAAGCTGGAGCGAGTCTAGACCTGTAGCGTCAGGGTTGGGCCACAGGGAACGGCTGGGGACTGAGGGGGCCTTTATGCCGTCCGAGACACAGGTCCATCAGTGGGGAGAGGTTGAGGGATGCAGCCTCAAGCTGTGGGCACTGACTCTGCACCCATCACTGTGCCTTCCATTTTCCTGTTGGGGAAACTGAGGCCGAGAGCATGTCAAGAATTCGCACGAGGTCACAGTGAGGGAGGGAGGAATGAGGAATTTGAACCCAGACCCCAAGACCCACACCTCCCTCTCCAGGTATGCAGCACAAGGAAATTCTCTGAGCCAGAAAAGGTCAGGGTGAGGGTCAGCCGAATTTGGGTGTAGCAGGAGGGGCTTGTGACTTTGTTAGAAGGCCCCTGAGCCCTCTGGCCTCTCCTTAGAGTCTTCTCCACTCACCCTGCACCCTGGACCACCACTTTGTTTCCTGGGCTGGGGGCAGCACTGAACTAGGGTGATTTGGGGTTTCCAGGTGTGAGTGGAAAAGCATTCCAGGCAGAGGGTACAGCAAGGACGACGGCCTGGAGGTGAGCGTGAGCCTGGCAGGTTCCAAAACAGCCAAGAGGCTCTGGTGGCCAGAGTCTGGTGGGTCAGGAGGATAGTGGCCTCTTCCCAGGCCTGGAAGGAAGTGTGGCTTTCTGGGGACACAGGAAGCAGCGAAAGATTGTGATAATTTTTTAAAAAGATTTTATTTATTTATTTGAGTGAAAGAGAGAGAATGAGAGAGAGCACAAGAGAGGCAGAGGCAGAGGCAGAAGCAGGCTCCCCGCCCAGAAGGGGGCCCCATGCAGGACTGGATCCCAGGACTCTGGGATCATGACCTAAGCCGAAGGCAGATGCTTCACCGGCAGAGCCACCCAGGGGCCCCAAGATTGTGATATTTTCATTTGTAGTTTTATTATTCCCATCCTGTAGGGTCTGTGGTCCTTCAAAGCTGGAGAGCCCCTGGATGTGCGAAGAATTTCGGACCTAAAAAGAGACACAGCCCACCCCGACCATCAAAAGGCTGGATCCTGCCTCAGCCAGATGAGCAAACTGAGACTCGGGTAGGAGAAAGCAACCAGCAAGTCACAGGCACACGGGGGGGGGTGGGGGGGGGGAGGAGCCCCCCCGTGGGCCTCTGCTGGCTTCCATTGCCCTGCCAGCAAAATGGGTTCAAATCCTGTCCTCCGGCGTTGGTGCCCGCTCTCAACACCCAGCACCGGGGGCCAGCCCTAGAAACTGAGACACGACCTAGCCCGAGAGGCCGCGCGGGCGGCCACGCAAAGCTGACAATAAAACCCCAAACCCCACCCCCATTGCTTCTCTGGGCCTAACGCTCCGAGAGTCCCACCTCTTTCTTCGCTAGACCTCGCGGAGGAGGCGGGGCCGCGTCCCGAATGGCCGACAATCCCGCCAATCACACTTTCGCCCCTCCGATTGGCCACCGCTGCCCTGCCTTATCTTTCCGTCTCACGGTCCCTGCCCGCTTGCGTCACGGGTGCGTTTCCACCCTGCGTGCGCCTCCGCGCTGGGAGATAGTCCCGGCCCCCTCCCCGCGCCCTTTGCCGCCGCCCTACCCGGGCGCCCCTGCCCCCAGGCCCCACGCTGCACGAGGCCCCAGCCGCTTCCCGCGGGCGCGCAGGAAGACGAGCCGCGGGGCCCGGCGCGGGCCGAACGGGCGGCGGCGGAGGGATCCGCGGCGGCGCCGGGCGGAGCGCGGGCGGGGCGGGGCGCGGGCGGGGCTTGGCGGGGGCGGGGCCGCGCGCGGGGCGGGGGGCGGAACATGTCTCCCGCCGCAGGAAGATGAGGCAGCGGCGGCGGCCGCGGGCGTAGCGGGCCGGACCGAGCCCAGCGACGCGGGCGGCGGGCAGCGCGAGCTCCGCACACGCCGCCTCCGCCAGCGCCCCGGCCGCGCACGGGCCCCGCGGGGCGGGCCGCAGGGAGGCCCGGGCGGGCGCCGCCGCCGCCGCCGCCCACGCGCGACCCTCGGGGGCCCGGCGCGACGCCCCTTTGTCCGGGGGGGCCGTTCATGCCGCCGCCCCCCGCGCGCTGCGGGCCCGGCCGCGCCGAGCAGGTGAGCACGCCGGGCCGCGGGGCCCCGCGGCTTTGTGCGAAGTTGGCCCGCCCCCTCCCCCCGCCGCCGCCGCCGCCGCCGCCGCCGCCGCCGCCGCCGCCGCCGCCGCCGCCGCCGCCGCCGCGGGCCCGGGACGTGGGGGCGGGGGCGCCGTCCGGGGGTGCGTCCCCGCGCGCCGCGGGCCGGGCGTCATTGTCCTCCAACTTTCCGCGCCGCGCCCCCCGCCCGCCGGGCCGCACTTAGCGAAACTTTGCGGCGCGGCGGGCGGGCGGGCGGGGCGGGCGGCCGGCGGCGGGGCCCCCTCCACGGCGCCGGAGTTTGGAGGGGGCGGGGGAGCGTCCTTTTGTCTGGCGGGGAAGGTGCGGTGGCGCGCCCCGCGGGCGCAGGTTGAGGGCCGGGCCGGGGGTGGGGGCGCCGGGGCGCGAACATCTGCTCCGCGTTAGCGCGGCCCGGGGCGGCGGCGGCGGGCGGCCCGGCTTCAAAGGCTCCCGGGCCGCCCGCCTGCACCGGCCGTGGCGGGCGGGGTGGGGGCGGGGCGGGGGCCCCCGGCCGCTCGCACCGCCTCGCCCTGCTTCCGAGGCCGCTCCAGCCCCCCAGATCCTGCGGCCCCCCGTAAGTTTCCAGCCCCCCCAGGTCTGCCTTGAAATCGGTTTCAGCCACCCCACAAAAAGTGCGGTTTCGTACTCCTCAACAAAGTCAGTTTCACACGCCCTCCGAGGAAGAAAAGACCTGGCGGGGGAGGGGGCGCTGGGGCAGCCGTTTCACACCTCGTCCCGAGCTGGCGAACAAAGCGGGGGTTCTCCGCTTCCGAAGCGGGGTCTCCCTCGACCCTGGAACCCCCTCCGCCCCGCAGCCGCCCGGGAAGCCCGGGACCGAAGCCGGAGGGGCTGCGCGCTCCCCTGCGCTTCCTCTCCTGGGGGGTGGGGGAATGGGGGCCAGGCAGGTGAGCCTCCACCCGCGCTCTAGAATGGAGGGCCCTGGGGCTGTGCGGGGGAAACCCTGCTTTGGGGACACCCCCCACCCCCACCCCCGGAGCGGGAGGTAAGGGATGTTTTCAAAGTTGCTTAAAAATAATTCCCGGATACATCGTGACAATAAAACAACCTAGGGTGGTGGTGGTGGTGGTTTTTTTTTTTTTTTTTTCCTTCTGCTCTGAGTTCAGTTGTTTTTTTTGTGGGGGGAGGAGGTTAAGGGTGGAGGGGAGCTTTGTAGGTAGGTCCCTGCACCGGGCACCCTCCCCATTTTCAGTCGGGAATCAGGAAGGCGGTTGTGCCTTTTTATTGAAGATTGTTTTTAGCTTTGAGTTTGGGGGCGACCTGGTTTACAACACGCTGTGACAGCTGTTGGGGGGCGGGGGTCACAAAATTTCCCTTGGGATGGGGCCTGGGTTGCCCTCCCCCTTCCCTGGCGGTGGCAAGCCTGTGGGGGGGGGGTTGGAAAGGAGAGATGGGAGGGGGAGAGGGGCGGGTTCTGGCGGATTGGTGATGGGACCACTCCCACCCTGCGTGCAGTTTAAAATTTGCAATCTGATTCCCTGGTGGTCTTGGAGAGTTTAGGGAATGTGCATTTGCAGACTCCCCCCCCCCCCCCATTGTTCAAACTCCCTGAGGGCTCTGGGGAGAGGTCTCCAGGGGCCCAAGCCAGGGAGTCCTGGCTGCCCTGCCCCCAGCCCCAGGGTCACGAAGGGGCTCATTCTGGGAAGACCCAAGCCCTCAGGGCCGTTAGAAGGGCTTTTTAAAACAGCTCTCCCACTCCCCATCTGTCCACCTTTGCCACAGTCACTCAGACCTCTTCTTTGCTTTTCCTGTTCCCGTGTGTCCGTCCCCTCCTCTGTAGGGCCGTCTCTAGGCCTGAGGTGCCCACCCTGGGCCCTGGAGAATGAACCAGCCACAGAGGATGGCGCCTGTGGGCACAGACAAGGAGCTCAGTGATCTCCTGGACTTCAGCATGGTAAGCCAGGGCCCCGCCTTCCCGGGCTCCCGCCCTGCCTCTGTGTGGGCCTGTTCCCCCAAGCTTCCTGGGACAGAAGCATCTGCCAGAAATACCCCAAGAGCCAAGAGCCAGACCTCAAACTTGGCTGGGTGGAGGGTTCCCCGGTGGGAGGGGGCTGGAGGATTTGGGGTGCGGTGGGGTGCATGGACTATGGGCCAGCAGTGGCCTTGGCCTCCTGACCTGGAAAATAGGTGTGATCAGGGTTATCATTGCCGTGTGGGTACAAAAGAAAGAAAAAAAAAGGCACCCGGTACCGGGATGACTGGCGTGGGACCTGAGTGAGGCAGAGAAGCACAGTTGGTGAAGTCCGTCTCCTCAGTTACTCAGCCACATGGGGGCCAGCGTGATGGGTGGTCAGGAGCGGGGCGCCGGGGCAGGTGGCCGTAGGAGATCTGGAGAGTGTGGGAATCCCTGGGCAGCACAGCCTGGAAGAAACACTCTGACCTGGTGGTAGCTGCGACTGTCACTCTCATGACTACCATCATTCCGTGGTGGCGAGGCAGGCCCAGGCGGCACCGCCGGGCCCGACAGAGCTCCCGGGAGGGTGCTGGCTCCCGGGCATCACACAGCTCAGCTGGGCCCTTGGGTGCCGGGAGTGGCGGCCTCAGTGTGCTCATCTGTGCAGTGGGTCATCTGTCACCAGTGTCGGGTGGTCCGGGTGTCCTCTGAACCTCTGCAGCCTGCCCGTGGACACTTCCCTGAGTCCTGCTCCCACTCCTGCGCCAGGAAGCACTATTTTGATTTGAAACGGGTTGGGGGAGGGTACTTTCAGTCTGAATTTCACCCTCCACCAGGACGAGGCCCAGGCCACTGAGGCCTGTCGAAAACAAAAGTCCCCAAACCGAAACGACACCAGCCATCCTGTGGAAAAACACAGCCCACGGGACAGAGGGCTCTGGCTCCGGAAGGGCCATAGTGGTATTTTTGAGCCATTTTTAAGCCCCATTTTATTTTTGCTTCCCCGGCTGAGTAACCCAGAGGCAGTTCAGTTGTTTTTTTGTTAAACTGACAGGTCACAGACTATTGAGCTGGAACAGACTGGGGTGGGGGTGGGTGGTGGGCACAGGGTCAGACCTGGTCTCTTCGCCTCTTCTATCCGAGAGCCTTGAACCCCTCGTTCCCCCGCCCCTTCTGTCTGGTGGGTCCTAACGTCTTCTCCACCCCAGTTCCAAAACAGTGACCCATTTCACAGATGAGGAAATTGAGGCCGAGGGGTAAAGTGCCCTGTGTCTTCCCTCGGGGTGAACCTGGAGCTGGATTTCCACTTCCCGTCCTTGTCACAAGGAGAGAGGCCTGGTCAGGTCACTGGGCACAGACAGCCCCCGCCTCCTCCTCCGTCACTTCTTGGTCTCCTTGTAGGTGCTCCCTCCCGCCTACCCCAGAGAAATCAAGTGGATTTATGTTTTAAATTCACTTGGTCTTAGACTGAGGAAAGGTTTGGAAGGGAAGTGTTTGCGGGTCCAATTTCTTGTGCAGCAGAAGAGGTGACTGTCAGAGCAACACGAAGAAACAGCTAAGCCGTGGCATCAGCCGCTGTCCCTGCCAGGCCCTGAGTCTCCACAGTTAGAAAGGAAGCTCATCAGGGCATGAAGGGCACGTGGGCTCTGAGCAGTGGGGGACGCCTGCGTGCTTGGCTTTCAGTGTCCCGTGTGGTCAGGGCCGTGGGCCCATTTCACAGAAGACTGAGGCTGCAGGGTAAGGGGGGGCAGTGTCAGGGCTGACAGGGCCCAGTGCCCCTGTGGCAGACGCCACGTCAGCGCAGCCCCTGGTACCCTAGGGGACAAAACAAAGACTTGGAATGGGCCCCCCCCCGGGGGCTTGGCTGCTGACCCCCAGGCCTAGGGTCCAGTTGGTTCTGACTGTGGTTCAGCTAACACCTCCCTCAATGCAGGCCTCAGTTTCCCCAGTGGGGCAGGAGCCTATGTGGGAAATAGGGCCCTGGGGAGGCTGGGCCAGTTGAATGAGCACAGCCACGCCCCCGGAGGGGGTTGCAGACCCAGCGAGAACCTGCTTCCCGCCAGGCTCCACGCCTCCCATGAGCCCCTGCTGCCCCGCCCGCCAGGGCCAGCTGAGCACATGGCCTCTGTTTCTCTCCTGTGGAACGGGGCGTGGGGACAGGGCTCGTGACGCTGCCCTGAGAGTCCTGCCCACAGGCACTGTGCCCTCACCTCCTGGCTGAGCGGGGTAGGTTAGGGGGCTGGGGGGGTCAGCAGCTCCCCAGTGAGCCCCTGGCCCTGATTCTGGCCACCTTTAATCACTTGGGCCCTAGATGGAGTCTAGGGCATGGACGTGTTTTGTTTTGTGTGGCAAAAGGGTTTGTTGATGTTGGGTTTTCTTGGCTAATGCTCCTAAGCTGTTTAATCCTGAGAGACTTAACACGGTGGGTTTGGGTAAACCGGGGGGGGGGGGGGGGGGGGCGGGGGGAGGCAGCCTTTCCACACGGTGCCCAGGAGAATCACCAAGTCACCTGTTGGGGGGTGGGCACAGCCTTTCCCAGGTCCCTCCAGCTTCCTGGCGTTCTGGGCCTCAGCTTCTCCTGAGGGGCAGATGTGATGAGGGCCCCAGGCAGCCAGTGAATACAGAGCCTGGCACGTGGGGGACACTTGACCCAGGTCAGCCTCCTCCCATCCCAGTGACTGGGCGGAGCTGTCCTCCCCACATGCCTGCCGCTCAGGGTCAGGGGCGTGCAGGACAGGAGGGGATTCTGGCCTGGGGAAAGGCCTGTGCGCAGCTCACCCTCGCTGCTGGGCTGGGAGCGATACTTTAACTTTTTAAAGCTGAAACTTAAGGAAAACTTTGTATTGCTTCTGAGAGCAAGTAAAGGGTTTCCAGTCCTGAGATCAGTTACTCCAGCTGCAAACAGCAGAGTTTTTATTTTTTAATATTATTTAAGTAAACTCTGCACTCACCCAGTGTGGGGCTAGAACTCACGACACCAAGATCAAGAGTTGCCTGTTCCACCGACGGAGCCGGCCGGGCGTCCTCCCAACAGAGTGTCTAAATTCTACCAGATACGCTGTTACTGGTAGCAGGACGGACCCCCAGGCAGAGCTGGGTCCTGGCCCCCACACTCCCCTCTCTGTCTCTTCCCACAGATGTTCCCCCTGCCCGTGGCCAACGGCAAGGGCCGGCCCACCTCCCTGGCTGGTGCCCAGTTTGGAGGCTCAGGTAGGACCCTGTGGCTTGGGGCAGCGGGTGGGCTGGGAGCACCGGGCGGCGCATGGTGCTGGGGCCACTCAGAGGGGACATCAAAGGAGGACGTGCTTGGGGGCGGTACCCAGCCGAGTGGGATAGGGGGTGAGGGGCCTGGGGCTGAGGGGCACATGTGAGGTGGGGACTTGAGCCTCCTGGGTCCCCGTGGCCCCTATGGGGCCCTGGGTCTCCAGTTTAAGGGGGAGGTGGAAGCCCAGGAGTTGCTGGAATCAGCCCTCACTAAGTCTTGCCCACGTTATGAGTCCAGGGAGGGGCCCGGCTCTTGGCTGTTTTTTCAAATACATGTTACGGGAGTACCGTGTATGGGACCCAGCACTGGGGTGGCTGACCATCCTGCTGAGGACACAGGGGTGTTCCCGGGATCTGGGATTTTGAACAATGAAACTAGGGGTGTCCTCAGCAAACCTGGATGAGTCGGTCACCCTACCAGGCACTGAGGATCCACGACATGGCAGGAGGAGGACAGACCTTTCTTTCCTGCTGAAGGCACATGCCACAGGGGTTAGGCAGCAGAGCAGTAAGGAGGAGGTGGTCACAAAGCTGAGGTGGTCAGGGACGGTCTTCAAGGAGGTCCTGTTTGAGCAGAGACCTGAGGGGGGTTCAGAGTGAGGGGCACAGCCTGTGCAAAGATCCTGGGGCAGGACCAGGCCTGGTGTGTTAGAGGAAGAGCAAGGAGGAGCAGTGTGCCTGGAGCAGACTGAGCGAGAGGGAGGAGGGGAGTGCAGGGAGGAACGAGGAAGGTCCTGCAGGGCCTTGGGGTCTCGGGAGGACTTGGGCTTTCACTCCAGGGAGGTGGGAGCCCTGGAGGGCTGTGGGCAGAAAGCGGTGCCTTGTGTACATTGGAGAGTCCAGCCTGGTTGTTGGTGGGATTTGGGGGAGCCCCTCAGGGAGACCAGGATCTTCTGCCACTCTTTGGATTTTGGCATCTTTCCAGGGTCTCAGGATTGGGTGTGCGTCCTTCTGTGACTCTGGGATTTGGGGTGGAAGGTTCTTTCTTGGAGTTGTCTGTAAATTCCATTGGGGTATCCAGTGTGTTCTGGCTGGAGGAGGAGAGGTTTTCAGGGGTGGGTTGTGTTCAGGCACCTTCCACAAGGAGAGGGACATTTTGTCATGTCCCCCCCCCCCCCCCCACCGTGCTGGCCTTCCCCTCTGCCTGAGGAAGTGGCTGCAGGGCTGGACAGAGTCCTCTCTGAGCTGTGGAAATCCCCACAGGCCATCTCGCTCCCTCCCTCTAGAAGTATTTCCCAGGACCTGGGGTGCTACCCTTTCTCTGGCTTGGGCAGAGGGTCAGGTTCTGGGGGTCTCCTTGGTGGAGATGGCAGAGGCATGCCTTTGTCTCCTGCTGGGCCTCTGCCCCAGGCTGTTTTCCCTTTTCTGGTGTCCACTTGGGACCAGCAGCTCCGAGTCATCGAAGCCGCAGCTCCTAGGGGAGGTGCCCCTCCAAGCTGCCCACTTCTGGCCCTGCCCTGACCACTTCGGATGGGGACAGGGTGTGGTTGTTCCAGCCTGGGAGACCCCCGTCCTGGGTATGCAGCCAGGGGCCCCTCACCCAGTTCAGTTCAAGCCGTTACCACCAGCTTGAGCCTGGTGTGGCTGGGGACGTGGGACCAGGAACCCTAAGACCGGAGCAGAAGGGCCCGTCCTCGCTGCCACTCCAGGCACGAGACTCTGTGCCGCCTGCATCAGGTGGCGTGACCGTGAGCCTCAGTTTCTTCATTTGTAAAAGGGCGTGTGCCAGCGGCCAGGTGATTCAGCGAGTCCGGGGGTGTGAGTGCTTTGTAAACTGGAGGTGTGGGCGTGTCTCGGGGCAGCCCTCCTGGCCCTGCCTTCAGACCTGGGAGCCTCAGGACCTGGGCTTGGCCAGAGCCCCAGGGTTCTCCCTGCTCTGAGCTCACTTCTCCATCTTCTTCCTGGTGGGGCTGGAGACACCGGGAAGGGGGCAGGTTGCTGGTCTGTTGGCAGGTGGGCCCGGGGAAGGTCCGCCCCCGTCAGAGCGAGGCAGCTCACCCTCCTTCAGCTGGTCGTGCATGCTTGCCAGGGGCTCCCAGATGCTCGTGGGCCCTGCCAGTCTCGCGCCACCTCGGGGCCGGTCCGCCTCGTGCATCCTGGTCTGGTGGACCTTCACGTCACCTAAGTCAGCCTGTGCCCTTGGGTCCGTTCTGTTAGCAAGTGGGCGGCGGCTCTGAAGGTCAGTGTGTGGAAGGGCTGCTTGAGAAGTGGTGGCAGAGGGACGTGAACCACTTGAGGGGGAGGGGAGGTCTTCTGGTTCGTATCTGGATCAGAGAACCCTCAAGAGGAGAACGCATCCCCATCCCCTCTCTCTTGGGAGACCATGAGGCACAGAGCTGCGTGACAGCGCATCATCTGCTGGAAACCGCAGGGTCCGAGGCCGCCCCGGACACCAGGAAGAGCGTATGGACGGGGCAGAGGACACCTGTTTATCGTTTCTGGGCAGCTTTCTCGTTAGCAGAATTGTGAACGTAACACGTGCTCAGGGTGACACTCCTACACTCGGGGACTGTCGAAGACTGTGCCAGCACCGGCCGGGGCAGGGGTCCCGTGGAGGTGGACTGCCCACGAGCGTGCCCCTCTGGCCCGGCCCCTTCTCCAGCACAGGTCTTCAAACTTGCCCTCCCACTTCATGGGTGACGAGGAATATGCCGTTCCAGGGGGCATTGATGACACTCGTGATGCGTGGTCACCTTTTCAGAAGCTCATCGGCCACGAGTTCTTTTTTGATGAGTTTTCCATTACTGTCTTGAGCCCCCGCCCCCCGCCCCTCTCTGGAGTTGATCAGTTTCTTTGGAATCATTACAGACAGACGGGCAGTTAGAACTGCAGGACCGTAGCCTGGGAGCCGACCTTGGTACCACCCGGGCGTGATCAGTGTGAGTGCGGGGGTGGGCGGGTGTCTGCACACTTCTAGGCTGCATGGAGCGCCATCAGCTCACCGCCACAGTCCAGACGCAGAGCTGCTACCGCTGTCCGCTACCTCGTAGTCATACCCACCCGACTCCCTTCACCCCTGGCGGCCACAGACCATTCTCCAGCTCTGGCTTTGTCATGTTGAGAGCGTCAGGAGTACGTGGAACCATGTGAGATTGTGTAACCTTCTGAGATTGGCTTTTCTCACTGAGCGGAATTCTCTGGACACCTGTCCAGGTTGTTGGCTGTGAAAGCCGTATCGGTAGTTTTTCTTTGCTGCCCAGTGAGCTTTTAACAATGGCAGCACTAATGCTTATCAACCACGATTTACTTCAATATTTGTTGAGCGCTGTATTCCAGGCACCAAGCCTGGATCATTTGAGTCCTTAGTCCCCACGGGTTGGTGAAATAAGCAAGATTGTCATTCTCGTTGCACTTATGGTGAGTTTAGTAACCGTCCCAAGTAACTCCCTGGTGCTGCTTTCCTGTGGTGTTCTTTATCCCTATGCTCTACTGCTCTTATTGACTTGTAAGAACTCTTTGCATAGGAAGGATGTTAGTCTTTTGTGAGCTACGTTGTAGTTTATTTCATAACTTTGTAACTTGTTAACAATATTTTTTAATTGGTCTCAGTGTTTTACAGATTAAATTTGTATGTTGTCAGATCTTTCCATTCATGGCGTTCTAGTCTTGGTGCCATTTCTGAGAAATCCTTAGGAATCAGATGACACCGTTCATTCAGCAGTGCAGATGTGGGGGTCTCGAAAGCCCTTGCTTCTTGCTGCATCAGGCTGAGGAGTGAGGAGGGTATGGGAAAAGATGCAGGAGGGCAGAGGAGTGTAGGTTGGTGGTCCTTGGCCGAGCAGAGCCACAAGAAAGAAGCAGGAGGTAGAGAATCTTGACCGTGAAGTGGTCACGGGCTGACAGCCGTTCCCAGCCTAGTGCACACGTTGGGCTCACCCATGGGACTACACCTGAGCTCTGTTGGAAAGGCTGGGAGGGGGCCTGTAGCTTCTGGGTGATTCTGGGGGGTGCCTGTCCTCCGTAGAAGCACGTGTCCGTGAGAGGCCACACCCCTTTATGAAAACGGAGTGCATGCTGGTTGCAGTGAAAATTTCTAACGTAAGAGAAGAAAAAGACTCAAGTATAAGCTGTGTCCCATGAGAAAAGTGCAGTAAAACTAGGAAAGAGTAAAGAGTAGAACAAAACAAAAAGCCTGACTATTTGGAAATGTCAGCATTCTGTTTATGCACCTCTTGGGTTAAAGCATTAACGCAGCCCAGCGGAGGGGACCGAGACCGTTGGAGCCGAGAGGTGCGGGCCGAGCTGTGCGTGGAGCTGTGCTTGGGGGAGGATCGTGCGTGCCAGGACAGGTAGCTCCGGGAAGGAGTGTGTCCGCGCTAGGGAACCGGAGAGCAGCTGAGTCGTGCCTGGGAGTCATGCCCAGGATGCGCCTTGGCGTCGGTTTGGAGGGCGCTTCCTCGGGTGCCAGGTGGCCGTGAACTTCTGTGTCCTCTCATCTTTCCGTCTCTTCCTGCCTCAGTGCCCCTGGTGGTAGTTGCCAGCGCTTTGCGGTGTGTCCCGGTCTTGCCCTCACTGTGCTTTTGCAGGGCCCCCCACACACATTGAGACGACGCGGTTCTGTGTTCTGATCTTGGGGAGGCTCACACCACGGCCCTGCCCCGAAGGGAAGCCCTATTGGGATGTGTTAGAGCATTGACTTCATAGCTGACTTTGGGAAGGAACCATCCGTCTACAGGGAGGTGGGCCGGTTCCCCCAGCACCAGGGATGGGTCTCACTCAGAGTATCGCTGACAGAAGCCCCTGCCCACACAACTAAGGACCGTGGGCAAAGCGCTGGGCCGGAGCGGACCAATCTGCAGTTTCCTGAGGTCAGAACCCAGTTTTCCCCCATCTGTTCGGCTTCTCTCTCTCGACCTGTACAGCTTTGAGGAGAAACTTCAGAAACTGATGTATGGGACACTTGGCTCTTCTACGGTTCTGTTTTGTTCTGTCCCGCCTTCTCCGGT